TGGGAATACCCCTACGGGCAAGAGGTATACAAGAAGCAGGATACAAATTGGCAAGACAAGGCTGCTAGGATAAAATTAGGATTTTGTTCTTGGTTTAATGTGAATAGTCCTGCTTTGGTTTTGACAAATGTCCCCTAAATAAGGTCTGTTATGCATCCCATCTCTTAAGATAGGCATGGTATACAGGTGGCCTAGAGATGCGAAATTTTCTCACAAGGGAGTAAAATTAACCTCTTTCTCAAGTGTAGTTTTAGTTTTTATTATAGGGATAATCCCCGATTTATGAGCATAATTGAGCCCCACAATTATGGTCATAAGTTACGACATCCATAAAGCAGGTCATTATATGGACCTGATTTTACACCTTTTTTGTGATAGTCAGTAAATGAATGTGACAATTGTAAAGCAAATACCACAGTCAGTAAGCAAATGTGGTGGTTGTTAAGCAAACCTATTGTTCACTACGGGGCGATTTTTGCCAGAAACCAGAAGTAGATGCCAGTTTCCAGCAAAAATGTTGTAAATTGAGTCAAATGACTGTGTGTGTGTGTGTGTGTGTGTGTGTATGTTGTTACTGCAAACAGCCATAAATGCACCTGATTGTAGAGTGCCCAAAAAGTGATTTCTTGAGGACATTGGAACTTCTAAACCGGGTGGTAAGTCCATTTTTCCTGCTTCATTGTAATTTAAAACAGTCACTAAGTGACTAGTTGTAAGCCAAAGACTACTTGTAATAGATTCTACATTGTAAATTGCTCTGTAGGAATCTACACAGGAATACTTGTTTGTCTATTTTATCAGCTATATTTTCATCTAATTAAACAAAGCACTGCAAACTATAACAATAAACTTCTCCAATATTCCTTCATTTACAGGAAACTAAATTCTGTGATGTTATCTTGGCTTTTAAAAGGGGAAGGATAGTGGATCAGTGATGAGAGAAGGAACAGCCACATTTGACTCTAAATAATCAACATGGACCTCCCTGAGTTTGAATTGGAAGACAAGGTACTCAAAGAAAGAATTCCAGGTCTTTCCCATTTTTTTAAACATACATTTTAAGGGATAAAGAAGAAGTTAAAATTTTGTACCTAAGGGGCTGCACTACACATGTATCATGTGTAAAGTAATAAGAGGGTGGCGTGACCAAATGAGCATTGGGTTTTTGTTAAGTTTTTGCTACTGAAGTAGAATTCTTTTACTGGAGACTCACTCTGTTAAGGTTAATAGAACCAAGCCATTTTTTGTACCACTTTTTGTATTTGGGTTCTTACAGATTAATGCATGATTCTCCTAACTAAGTTGAGCTTCAAGTCAGTTTAAGCTTCAAGTTAGTTAGTTCGAGGACAATTAACCAGTGGAACAGTTTGCCTTCAGAAGTTGTGGGTGCTCCATCACTGGTGGTTTTTAAGAAGAGACTGGATAGCCACTTGTCTAAAATAATATAGGCTCTCCTGCTTGAGCAGGGAGCTGGACTAGAAGATCTGCAAGATGTCTTCTAGGTCTATTCTGATTAATAGTTTATCTAATGAAGGGCTGAGTTAGCACAAAGATAGGAAAAGAGTCCTGAATAAAAGACAGCATCTTATTTGCTTTCTTATTCCAGCAGAAGTCCTAGTATTAGGCTGACGGGTAGCAAGGGCTATGCATTGTACTGCCTTAGCTAGCCTATTGAATTTTAATATGCCTCATTATAAGGACAGAAGAAAAATTCCACTGGCAACCAGCTTTTGTCCATTTTGCTTTTTCTGTGAGACAGAAGAAGAATTCATTCTTTTAATCCCAAAAAAGGAGGTAATACAAACCACAGCAAAGGTAAAGAATACAGTAGCCATCATAAGTACATACAGTAAGTAGATACAGTAGCCGGTTACCTATGAATGATGGAGTCAGCACAGTGAACAACACAGTTAATGGCAAGGCCTACTTTCTGCATTTAAGTGCTTCTACAGGTAAATATCTGTTATGATTATGGAAACAATTCAGAATCCAAAAGTACTAATGAAAAGTTCTCAAGAAATCTAAGGAATGTATCATTCTATATTATGATATAGAGCCGTGATGGCGAACCTATGGCACAGGTGCTACAGTTGGCACACAGAGCCATATCAGTGGGCACGTGAGCATTGCCATAGCTCAGCTCCAGCATGCATGTGTGCGCTGGCCAGCTGATTTTTGGGCCTTTCGGTCCCACCAGAAGTTAGGAAATGGGCTGTTTCCGGCCTCCGGAGGGCCTCCAGGGGAGTGGGGAAGGCCGTTTTTGCCCTCCCCAGGCTCCTAGAAAGCCTCTGGAGTCTGGGGAGGGTGAAAAACGGGCCTACCGAGCCCACCGTACCATCATGTGCTAGAAGCGGGGGGCTGTGTGCGCACATGCGCAGGGGCGGGGCACATTGAATTATGGGTGTGGGCACCCACGTAGGCAACCTCACCGCGCTCCCCTGCTTTTGGCACATGATGGCAAAGAGGTTAGCCATCACTGATACATGCCACTGAAATGTGAAGTAGTGTACATAGTGCGGGCTAAAAAGTGAGTCATTTTTTGAGAGAAGTCAACATTGTTTATAAATCATTGTTTCTTTGAAGTGGAAAAAAAATGGAGAAAGAGTCCCCTAGAAAGAATTATGATTAACCATCTAATTGTTCTTCTGGTATGCTTGCTTGAGGGCTTTTTCTCTTTTTTGCCCAGTGCACATTAAGAATTTGTTTCTCATCTTACAATCCTTGCACCCAGATGATAGTCATTAAGAAAGAGGCCAGGCAAACAGTTGTGTATATGTAATCCTAACACATTTTAGTCCTGTTTTCCTCACTGTTTTCAACTGAATGTAATGCTGGAGAAATGTTAAAAGCGAGCTCCAAGAGATACCATGGGAGAAATTCTTCATCTTTTGTACTTAATTTCTTTCGGCTGTAGAGAAGGAGATACTCAACAAGAGCACAGTTCTATAGAGATGGCTGTCCAGTTTGATTATGCTGGATTGTGTGAGGCATGCAATAATTTGGCCCTGTACATTTATGATGAGCAATTAGTTGATTTTGTATCCATCTCTCCTGTGCCAGATTCAACCTTCTCCTATTCTTATTCCAGGCACGCATTTTACTTGGCTATTCCAATGTAAGATATGGTACAGTGTGTTGTTGGAAATGAAGTAAAAGGGCCAAATTCCATTAAGTAAATATTAGAATAGCTATAGAATTGCCAATTTAGTTAATTATCAGTATTGATATTATTGTTTATTAAGCATTTATATAAATTATTTAAAATAATGTATAACTTGTTTAATGTTTAATAATGTATAACTTAAAATATGTATTAGTATCTCTCAAGCACCTATACTAAGCACTGTTATAATGGCTTTTTAAAAAAAAATTAAATAATGCACCATTTCAATATTATCAATTAATGAGGGAATGATGTATATGGCTATTCATCTTCCGAGTAAGAAGAGTAAATGTTATGCTATTTTGTCTAATATAATGGTTTCATTTCTGTGAAAAGGCTAAAATATTTGGTGGCAGTAGGTTTCTTGATTGGATTAAGAGATTGGACAATGTCTAGTTTTCTTCCAATATTTAAGAGAAGTTCAGTTTTGAATCCAATTTTATGATTTTGTTCCTTGTGTATAAAAAGGGATTTGAACCAGAATGACAGATCTTAAACCTCTTATGAGATCCAGGAAACCTGGATCTAGATAAAAGTCTGTGAATTCTGATTTGGCAAAGTAAAGTATGGTGAGCTTAGATTGTTGAACAGGATTTAAATCCAATAAGCAAAATAGTGCCATAATGCAACTCATGGAAAGTACATTACAAATTCTAGCTAGCAAATTCTTTTCCCTCTGTTGACTTCAATATTTGCTATGGGCCCTTATAATTTACTGCAGGCATAACTAAACATAAGCATCTGCTTAAGTAAGGTTTACCTCCTAGTAGCAGTTTATTAACACCAGGCAAAAAGTGAAGCTCCATGTCCTTTGTTTGTATTATGTTACAATAAGCTAACTTTTTGTAATGGTTAGTCACCTCCAATAAAAGTGTACTGGACTCAACTGTTTTTACACTCTTATATTTACAGCAAGTATCCACTGCTAGGAAACAAAACCAAACTGAAAAGAGCTTCCAAATTTATACAAGTTATAGAAACTTCCCTATATGGGAAGCTAGAAATCTTAGCAGGTTATTGATACAGTACCATGAAAGCATAAAATATTGGGGGCACACATAGGAAAAAATGTGTGCCCCCAAAATATACAGAATGAATATATTCTAAACTTAATCTATAACTATACTTTTATTATTATACAGATTTTCACGAGGTTGAATTGCAGCATGTAATTTTAGTTGCTGCAGAATTAATTAAATTCTGTAAAAAAAATATGCATATATGACATTTTAATAAGAGAGCCTGTTTGGAGTAATGGTTAAGGCACTGGCCTAGAAACCAAGAGATGGCGAATTCTACTCCCACATTAGTCACAAAGCCAACTGGGTAGTTTTGAGATGGTCACTGTCTTTCAGTCCTAGCAAGACAGCAGTGACAAAGCACTTCCAAAAAGCTGCTAAGAGACTGCAAGGATTAGTTCAACAATTGCCAGGAGTCAACAATGACTTAAGGTATCCACCCTCCCAGCAACCCCTTTTCATATAATTTTCTTCATATCCATTTAGATATTTTTCACACTGTGCCCACTATGACACTGTGGTTAATGTCTGTTGGGATAACACTGAGTCCGTTAGAGATGTTATTTCCTTCAAACAGACACTACGTTGTTTTCTATGGAAGCAACTTGTTGAAAACAGGGGCATAAAGAAATGGAACCGCACATTCAAGGAGAATCACAATGTGAAAAGGAGAGAGAAAGAAGCTTCAGTATGAAGCGGATTAGAAAAGATTGAAAATGGCTGGCTCAGCAGTCATCTACACTGTTGGAAAGTGTTCGTATGTGCATGATGTCCCTCAGGATTGAAGAGCAGGCTATTATATACAGTAGTTACAATACCTTGAAATACACTACGGAGCAGCTGCAGCATTCTTTCTTTCCCATTGTTCTTCTTCTCCCCTTTACTATTTTTGGCACTTGTGGAATGTTTAGGACATAGCGAATGTGATAAGTCTCTAAGTTCATGGAGTAAAGCCACGTCTGGACAGAGATGGGATCCATGTGTGCCCAACATCACAAAGTGACAAAGGAATGACTCCAACACTACCACACATGTTTTGCTGAAAGACCAACAAAGACAGTGTGTATTGAAAAAAAATGCTCCAAATCTCAGGAGAGGATATAGTAGGCTATAATTCGTATAGCTCTAGATAAAAGGAGAAATTATAGGAACATATGGTATAGGTAAGAGAGAATAACTAACGGAAGATACATTAAATGTTTTATGGAAGATATACTGAATTATTTACCAGATAAATTATGTAAAAGTGTGCATGAAATAACTTTCTTTGGGTCCAGATAAGAAAAAAAAACCCCATATTCTCGTTTTCATTCTGACTGATGATGGTCAAAGTCTTGTCAGATCAGCTTGCAATTCACTTAGTAAGTAGGAGGTATTTGGAAACACACATTTGTTTGCTCCCTAAAATTATCTTTTTGCTCATGGGATTTCTGCATACATACAGAATGGTAGGACCATAAGTGCCTTACTGCATTGGTCTCTGAGAATATAACTCCCAGAATCAGCCGTATTGCATTTATTGAGAAACTCAATTCCTGCCCCCCCTCACAATTACTGAAGAACTACAGTAGGTTCTTAAACATGGCAGGCAGCAACATTTTAAAGAAATATAACCCAGTTCTTCTAAATACAGAAGATATCCATGCACACCCTTTTAGTTAAATGGTGATCTGATCACATAATTCACAGAATTAGCCCATGTTTGGGGAAAACAGTAAAGAATGTTGTAGTTCATATAGAAGCTATATTTGGAGTTCTGGTCCTTTAAAACCAGTTAATAGGATTTCCAGTCAGAGTAAGGAATTTGACAAATTTGGCAGCAAACTTTGAACACTTGGTCTTTTGAATCTCATCTGGCATTCTGAGTCAGCAAAGAACATTGAGGAGAAAAGGAGCTGGATGTCCAGTTTCACAAAACAGGTTACTGTGAAAATTAATGATACCATGAATTCAGAAGTACTGCTAGTACTAGGCCCAGGTAGGGGAAGCTTGGTGTCCAGTAACAACAGATAATAAAGACTATAGCAAATAGATTTTCCATTCTCATATTGACCATCAGATTCATGCCAGGATTGTTACGGTTGTCACAGTCTACCAGATGCTTAGACTTGATTTGGCATTTTTATCCACCAATTGAGTCCTTCCCAAAGTCCTGGGATAGCCAGATGTTGTTTGATGGTATTGAAGGTATCATAGCAGGATGTAAATTGTTCCAAGTAAAGCTTTCAATTGACTAATGGCAATTTTGTTGGTGCTGATGGTGTTTAAATAGTACTCCAGATGTTTTGGGATTGTACCCAAAATGTCTATTACTATTGGTTCTACCTTTGTTTTCTTTTGCTGCAATCATTCTACTTCTATTTGCAGGTCTTTGTACTTTGTGATTTCTCCAGTTCTTTCCCTACTGTTTTGTATTCACTAGCTACTACAACATCCACTCTCTAGACTTTTTTTGTCTTTCTTATTAAGTCTGGGGTATTATGTGGTGAGAGCTTGTCTTCTCAATTCTAAAGCCTTAGAGCAGTGATGGCTAACCTTTTTGCCATCGCGTGCCAGGAGAGGGGGGCGGGGGAGGGTCGCGCATGCACATGCCCACGCGCATGTGTGTGCAACCCCCTCCCCCTCCTTCCCCCCCCCGCTCCTGGCACATGATGGCCTGGTAGGCCCGTTTTTCTTTCTTACCTGGTTCCAGATCCTCTCTGTGTATCTGGGAAGGGCGAAAACAGGCTTTCCCACTCCCTTGGAGGCCCTACGGAGGCTGAAAGAGCCCATTTCCCAACTCTCGGTGGGACAGGAAGTGACATTTTTTGCTGTCCCCAGCCTCCAGAACTTCTCTAGGCGCCTCTCTAGGAGTCTCTAGGCGCCTCTCTAGGAGTCTCTGGAGGCTGGGGACAGGAAAAAACATCACTTCCTGTCCCACTGGGAGTTGGGAAATGGGCCCTTTCAGCCTCCGTAGGGCCTCCGAGGGAGTGGGAAAGGCTGTTTTCGCCCTTCCCAGATCCATAGAAAGGATCTGGAGCCAGGTAAGAAAGAAAAACGGGCCTTCCCCACCCCGCCCCCAGGCCCTCCAGAGGCAGGAAACAGCCTGTTTCCCTACTTCTGGCCCAAAAATCAGCTGGCCGGCGTGCGCATGCGCCCCAGAGCTGAGCTGGCATGCCCACTAATATGGCTCCGCGTGCCACCTGTGGCACGCGTGCCATAGGTTCGTCATCAGGGCCTTAGAGCATTCTAGCTTCTTTGTTTTGTATTATATTTTCTTTTTTGGGGTCCCACCAGTTCTTGTTTGCAGACAATTTTTTTTGCAGATATTCCAGTGCATTATTGTTGCTAAAATGCCCCATGGTTGCTACTTTGTCATGCCATTGTTTGTAGTCAGTGTGATCTTCATGCAACAGCTAAGTAAGTGGTCCACTGCTTCTTTGCAGAGGTGGTATTTGCTGTTTGTTGGTGTCTTCTGCCTGGCTTTGTATGAATTTTGTTCTTATGGCTTGGTCTTGTGCATTGAGAATATTTACCGTATTTTTTGGAGTATAAGACGCACCTACCTTTTTTGGTGAGGAAAAGAAGAAAAAGAAATCTCCCTCTGCCTCTGAACAATTTTGCCTTGTTGCAGCAAAGAACAAACAGCCTGCTTTACTTTCATTTTCGTGTTCAGCATAGCTTGATTAGCCCAAGGGGGAAAAAAAAAATCTGCTCCAGCAATTTACCTCTTTGCAACAAGCAGGAGAGCCCTGCATAAAACAGCTGAGAGCAAATCAGCTGACAGTCAGGAGGCTGATCCAATCAACTTGTGCTAATTAGCCTGTGCTGAAGCTGAAAGGAGCTGTTTTTTCTTGCTGTTTGTTTGCAAGGAGGTAACTGCTGCGAGGCAGAGGCCAAAGGATGGGGGCCAGTGGGTGGGCAGGGCTACATTCGGTGTATAAGACACACCTAAATTTTCACCCCCTTTTAGGGGGAAAAAGGTGCATCTTATACTCTGAAAAATACAGTATTTGTTTATTACTTTTAGAGTGGCACTGGGCAGTGTACAAGACATAAAAGCATAAAAGTTCTATATAAATATTATAATAGGAGGCAGTTAAAACAAGAGTAGAATAATTAAAATTCAAAATTAAATATGTTTAAAAGATGAGGGAGGGCTTTCAAGACACTAACCAACACCATGGCTATGTGCTCCTCTGTGGGCCCACAGAATTAGTCCTTCTGTCTCTTTCTTCATCTTTCCTACGCTTAGCCATTGCCAGACCTTGTTGTTTCCTGCTTTGTCTGCTAATTTGTTTAAGTGTTGGCCATGCAATACTTTGCCTTGCTCTATCTCTTTTCTGTTCTTCTTTTGGTCTTTCTGGTTGGCCAATTTGGTCTCTCCCATGTTTGGTAAACTTTCATGATTCACTAACTTCAGTGTATCTTCTTTGCCACTCTTCAGATATTCTTCCAATGCTCTTTTTCTTCTTCAACTGTTTGATGTACTTGCAACATTCCATACCCACCTATTTTCCTTGGTAAGTAGAGTTTGTCAACAGTGCTGCGTGGGTGATGATGATCATCATAAGAATTTTCTCCTCCTCTTCCTCCTCCTGCTTCTCAAATTACAAGAAATTATTTTAACTTTAAAAAGTAAAGGTAAAGATTCCCCTCACATATATGTGCTAGTCCTTCCCAACTTTAGGGGCCAGTGCTCATCTCCGTTTCAAAGCCAAAGAGCCAACGCTGTCGGAAGACATCTCCGTGGTCATGTGGCCAGCATGATTAACCACCAAAGGCACACGGAACACTGTTATCTTCCCACCAAAGGTGGTCACTATTTTTCTACTTGCATTTTTTACATGCTTTCGAACTGCTAGGTTGACAGAAGCTGGAACAAGTAATGGGAGCTCACCCCATTACGCAGCACTAGGGATTCGAACAGCTGAACTGCCGACCATTCAATCGACAAGCTCAGCGTCTTAGCCACTGAGCCACCATGTCCCCATCATTTTAACTTTACATGTCTACAATAAAACAAGGCTACTTTCCCCCATATAACAGTATGTAGCAGCAGAAAGAAAACCATTTTATTCCTGGAGTCATGACTGGTCTTTGATATAAAGAACAGGTGCAGGGGTGAAATCCAGCAGGTTCTGACAGGTTCTGGAGAACCAGTTGTGGAAATTTTGAACAGTTTGGAGAACCGGAAGCGGAAATTTTGAGTAGTGCATAGAACCGGCAAATACCACCCAGAGTGGGTGGGAATGGGGATTTTGCAAAATCCTTCTCCTGGAGTGGGGAGGGAATGGAGATTTTGCAATATCCTTCCCCTGGAGTGGGGTGGGAATGGGGATTTTGCAGTACCCTTCCCCTGCCATGCCCACCAAGCCACACCCACCAAGCCACACTCTCAGAATTGGTAGTAAAAACAATTGGATTTCACCACTGAACAGGTGAATAGTTCAGGCCTAGTGTACAGTTGCCCACTTCTGCCACTGAGCTAGACTGAAACGAAGCAGGGCTAAAGGAAACAGCCCTTTGTTCCACTGCTGAAGGCAGCTTCAATTGCACAGATGCAAGTCTTGAAATAGTGGAAAATTTTACTTTTCTAGTGGGCAAGAATCAAGCGTAGACTGCTTCTCTGTGAAGCAGTAAAAAGTATTTTTGAATTTTTGACATGCTGTTAGCTCTTTGTAATACCTCTTATATTAATAGATATGCATCCTACAGATGTTCACATAACATCAGAAAATTGTCCATGATCTTTATTGGAATTTTTTTTAGCACTATTAGGAAATTCTGGCATTGGTACAGAATGCTTTTTGGGCCAACTTGAATTGATGTGATGTGGAATAAAGATTAGTCCGTGCGCCATATGGCATGCGCCAATGGAGGATTTATACCACCATCAAAGGACAATTTAGATTTTACATGTGAAAATCTCTTTCATGTAGGAAGCAACTATCACAGTTTATAAGTTTTTATCAACTGATTTATAGGTGCACAGGCAAAGGTGGATATCCTG